ATTGGCCAAGCAATGGCTGTGACTCATCCACATGGCTGACACTGACAAAGGTTCTACAATCTGAGGTACAGGATCTCAAGATAAATCCTGAGGGGGTTTCACTGATCTTATCAGACCCAAAAACTACAACTCGTTGCATAGGTCCTATTTTACCTTGGTCTTAACCATCCAGCAGAAAAGTATAAAAACAAAATATAAGAAGTAAAGCCATGCTAGTATGTTGAGCTGTAGGGGACTCAAGTCAACAATTTCTGACATTGCCAGTCAAGCGCAAGACCCAATTATGGGCTACTGAACTCTTTTAAAATATTTTCCTAAGTTTACACACCTATAATATTCAAATAATGGAACTTAACCAAAAAAGGGGATACAGATAAATGTCCATTTTGTATCTGTTTATTCAAAGTGGTTAGGATAGGTGTATAGTTACATTTTCTTAATGGATAGAGTGATTTGTTCTAATGGTGTTAGGATATCATGTCTGCATCTTGTACAGCAATTAACCACTAGGAGGAATGTATGCAAGTGTTAATTATTTAAAGTGTCCTACCGATTTGATTTGAAATTGTCTCATTGCTATTTGTTTATCAATAAAATTATGGGAAAAATAAAAAAATAAAGGAAAACACACACACACAAAAGAGTAAAGTCAGAAACTTGTGGAGTTTTTTTTTTTTTTACCTAGTCAGCATTTTTTTCATGGATCAATTTAATTTATTGTTTTTGGTACTGGCAACTGATTCTAGCCCTTTGTGCTGAGAGTTACATCCTCCACCATTGACAAACAGTTATAACAGTTTTGACAATGTACTTTTAAATCTCATTTTTCTAAATAATTCACTTTTATATTTTGAGACAGTCTTCTAAGTCTTTAAATTGCTTTAAAATAGGTGCAAACTTGCAGTCCTCCTACCTCAATCTCCCAGTGTGCTGGGATTCCTGTAATGTGCCACCACACCTGGCCTAAATATTTCATTTTGTTTTTAAATTATAGAAATAACATATGCAGTGGATTGGAGGAATCAGACAAAAACCTTTCTCTATATAGAGAAAGTGAGAAGCATTACCCTCTATTAGTGTGACAACTTTAAGCCTGAAATGGTCCTTTTAGTTTAAGTTTGATGTAAAGGTTTAATTTTCAAGTAGAAGGAAGCAGAGATTCCACAAAGTATAAGTGCTTCATCATTCTCTCGATAGATTATTCTGTTATATGGTACAAAGAGAGAGGGAGAGGGGCAGACAGACAGGCAAACAGACACAGATACATACAGACATAAAATGTGAATTTTTCTTTCAATTCTCTTACTAGGTTTTTCTTGTTAGAAAGAAGACTGGGCCTGATGCTGGGCAACTTTATGCAATGAAGGTGTTAAAGAAAGCTTCTTTAAAAGGTACAACATTTGATTATTTCTTCAAATAAAATTTAAAAAAAGCTCATTTTTACAAATATGATATACATTACTTGTATAAGGTAAATAGATGTGGTTTCCTTATAACAGCAATTATTATGTAATTCTTGTCAGATAATGATACTTCTAGGGTTTGATATTGACATATGCTTTAATTTATTGAGCCCAGGTAAGTATTTAATGATAGAGAATATGACATTTTATTTAATTCAATACAGACTTAATTTTATTAAGAAGGACTCTTTGCTTTCAAAATTTTTGTTTTTCCATTTCATCTGTGTTGATATTTCATAGAGAAAGCATAGCCACCTCTACATATGAAAATATCACTATGTTCAATTTCAATTAATAAACTCATTTGAGGTAATATTGATACAAGAACATGTTAGCCAAGAACCTATTTATGCCACTTTAACCTATCTCTAGATATAAACTGAATTTATTCACTTTTTGAAAATATTGACATTATAATGTAGGTATATCTGGAATGTAAATTTAGGCACCTACGAAATTATATTTCATATGTTTATATTTTTGATTAGTAAATTATTCATTAACTCTTTACTGAAATTATAAAAAGTATTGTATAATCTACTTTTGTGCAATTTTTAGTTCGAGACAGAGTTCGGACCAAGATGGAGAGGGATATACTAGTGGAAGTAAACCATCCATTTATTGTCAAATTGCATTATGGTATGTAGTCTATCTCTTATTTATTTATGGAATTAGAAAATTAAGATTTCCTTTCAGACAGTACTGTAACAAAAATTGGTATACATTTATTTAATATATTAAATGTGATTGTGTATGCTGAATCAAATTTCAATAGCTAGCTGTTAGATTTATTTCTGTCTTTTTCTAAAGTTAATTAACTAGTCTAAGGTAACAAGCTTGTGTCTTCTATTTACTTGCCAAAGTAGTATTTCTCAAGTAGGTTATATCTCCATTTATCCTAGGCTATAAAATACTACAGTAATTTATGGAAGGCATTTGTGTAGTTGTTTATCATAACCGTATTAATCTTACTGGTTCTGTTCAAGAAGAGCATGTAATTAAGTCATATATTTAATTTAAGTACTTTTCTTACTTTAGAGGAGAGAAATATTAGTAAGAAACAAAAAAGAAGCAGTAGGTTTTATCAAGAAAACTTTAGCCTTGGAGTCAGACATTTCTGAATTTGAATCATGGCTCTTTTGCTAATACATGGATGAGATTTGCTTCTCTAGGGAAGAAACAATAAGTAGATACATAAAATAACTTATACCGTACTATGTCACTGTTATTTTCCTAAATTCGAAATATAGTAGCTATTTATTTTATTCTCAGTATAATTTTGATAATATATAAGTTACGCAGTTATTTTTACAAAAAAAAATCTCACAAGAAATTTCTATTATTCTTTCACTTTTGTTATCCAGTGGTGTATATTGAAGGATTTCCTTCAAGTTCCTGTGTGACACTACATCAATTAGTAACACCTATTATGTGCAAACTAGTGTTATTAGAAGCAGTGGGCTGTAGAAATAAAGCAACTTCTGACCTCATGAAATTTATAACATATAGGAAACAGGCTTGTAAAATAATTGTACAAATCAAAATGTAGTAATTACTATAAAAGAGTTATAAATAAAATAAAATGATATCTCAAATTTTGTGGCAAACAATTTTCAAGGGAGTAGGGTTAAGAATAAACAGATAAACTACTAAGTAGATATATAATATATATGTATCAATGAAATATATATTAAGCTTTTTAAACCTTTAAAATTGTTCTGTTACTGCATTACAATTTCTAATTAGCTTTTCAGACTGAAGGGAAGCTGTATTTAATACTGGATTTTCTCAGGGGAGGGGATGTCTTCACAAGATTATCCAAAGAGGTGAGTATCTATAAAATTTTACTCTATTGTTGAACAAAACATTATTCCTTTGGAAATTTTAAATGATGATTATTCTTTTGTTTCTTTTGACATAGTATTTAGTATTATGCCAATAAATAGTACTTTCTTGTCTTCCTTGTCATTTGGACCATCTTAGTATGCTACTCATTCTCTTAGACACAAGAACAATATGAATAACTGGATGAAGTAGATAGGAGCAAGCCTAGGACTTTGGGTACTCAAGCTACCTAAATGCCTCTTGGAGTGGTGTTTATTAATTTAAAAACAGCAATGTTGAGGTATAATTGACATACAATAAATCACACACATTTAAGTATACAATTTGATAAATTGTACACTATCTATACTTATGAATCCATAATCTAAATAAAAATAATCAGCATATCCATTATTTCCAGCAGTTTTCTTATTGCCCTTGTAATTCCCATCTTGATGCTACTGAATAGGCTTTCTGTCAGTATTTGGTTTGCATTCAATAGGGGTTTGTGTAAATGGAATCATATACGGCAGTACCTTGGTTTGTGAACACTTTTGTTTGCGAACAATTGCTTTGAAAATAAAAGCATTTGGCAAAATACTGTTTTTGTTTTCAAATTGTACCTCAAGTGATAAACGTGAGCACAGCTATCTTTGCCACACAGACACAAATATGGCCATCTTTTCCAAAATCACAGAAAAAAAAACAAGGTTCTGAACTGAGGTATCACTGAGTATTTTTTTTTAATCTGGCTTAAATCAACATTATTTTGATTCATCCATGTTGTTGTATGTATCAATGGTTTATTCATTTTTATTGCTGAATAGTACTACCATTGTATGGATACATCATGATTTGTTTATCTATTCATGTGTTGATAGATGTTTGTGTGGTTGCAGTTTTGGGATATTACCAATAAAGCTGCTGTGAACATTCATATACAAGTGATTATATGGACATACATTTTCATTTCTCATCTGTAAATACTAGGAATATAGTGACTGGGTTATATGATAGGTCTATGTTTTAACATTTAATGACACTGCCAAACTGTTTTCCAAAGTGGTTCTCTAGTTTTCACATTCCCAACAGCAGCATGTGAATTTCATTTGCTTCCCATCCTTGCCAATAATTGGTATGGTCAGTCTTTAAGTTTTGACTGATAAGTGTATGCCAGTATCTCATTGTGGTTCTGAGTTTCATCACAGTAATTATTAATAATATTGAGCATCTTTTCCTACACTTATTTAACATCTGTCTCCTTTGGTAAAGTGTCTGTTCAAACTTTCTGACCATTTTAATAGAATTGTTTGGTTTTTTTTAGAATTTTGGGAGTCCCTCATGTATTTTGGATGTAAGTCTTTGATCATATATGTTGTTTGCAAATATCTTCTTCTAGTTTATGGTTTGTCTTTTCAACATCTTAGTAATATAAGAAGAGAAATAGAAGTTCTTAAAAAATTCGATGAAATTAGATTATATTTGCTTCAATTTATTAACTATTTTTAATATTCTGTTTAAGGAACATTTGCCTAATTGCAGGTAAAGATTTTCTCCTGTTTATTGTAGTGTTCTCATAATTTAGATCTTACTTTTAGATTTTGGATCTATTTTGAGTTAAGGCTATAGGTATGTGTCTAAATTTTTAATTTGCATAAAGATACTCACTTTCTGGCATCACAATTAGAAAAGGGTATTCTTTCTTCATTGACTTATTTTGTATTTATTTTGAAAATCAATTGATTATATATATAAAGCTCTATTTCTGGATACTTTATTTTACTCGTTGATCTATTTGTCTGTCTTCATCAAGGTACCCCACTATCTTGATTACTGCACCTTTCAAATAGGTTCTGACAGGAGTTATTGCAATTCTTGAGCTTTCTTTTGTTTCTCCTAGGTCATTTGGATTTTCTTCTCAATTTCTTTTCACTTCCTAAAGAAAGCATTCTAAGATTTGGATGTGATTGAACAAATCTATTTTTGTCTTTACATAATGTGTGGTATTTAAGAAAAACTGTAGTTACCTTGCTTTTCATTTAGACCTGTCATATTTATTATGATTATTTATGTCTATTGCCTTGCTATTTATTTTAAACATCATGTTCTTTTCCTTTTTAAATTTTTACATTTTATTTTTATCACTGCTGTTTCCTTGTTGATATTAACTAGAACACTGTTTTGTTATTTTATTTTATTTTATTTATTTATTTTGTATTCTAGGGAAGGGTTTACAGGGTGTTCAGGGTCTCACTACTACATCGGACTCTTAGTGATCCTCTTGTTTACAGCCTCCCAAGAGCTGGGATTACAGGCACGCACCACCACTCCCAGTCTCAATTGCCATCTCAGCATGCCCTGGAGGTAGGGCCAGCACAGCAGGTCCAGGGATGGAACTCCAGATTGAAAAACAATGGTCTTAAGCCAAATTTAAGTAATTGCTTTTCTTTTTTATATATGTATTTGATACAAGGTTTCACTGCGTAGCTTGAACTTGTAGTGATCCTCCTCTTTTCAGCCTCCTCAGCACTGGGATTACAGGTGTGTTCCACCATGCCTGGTCTTGGTTGCTGACTCAGTGCACACAGGGGCCATGCTAGTGTGGCATGTGATGCTGGGGTTTGAACCTTAGTCCCTGTGTTTGCCTAAGCAGGCGCTTAGTCTGCTGAGCTATCTTGCTGGTCTTAGCTAAATGCTTTTCTTTGTAATCTAAACTTTATTGGAACACAGCCCACTTATTGTGTAAATATTGTCAATGATAGGTGATTTCTTCTAAGTGTCTATGACAGCATATTTCATGGTCATTTTAATTGGATGGTAGACATTATGAATTTAATTTCTTGCATGCTCTTTTTATTTCATTATAAATAACATTTAGCTTTGTTCTAGAATACAGTCAATTTTCTTGGAAACACTGATCATTTTGCACCTTGCTTTTTTCCCCCTTTGGTTTTGTTTTTTACATTGCTTGGTATTGAACATGGAGCCTTATATATGCTGAGCAAATACTCTACTACTCAGCTACAGTTGCAGTCCTGTATTTTGCTTTTGAACTTTGTCATGTGGGACTAGGACAGCATTTAGTAAAGGTTTACCTATCTCCCAATATTAAAATGTGAGTCTTCTTAGTACTCTAACCAATCAGCTTCAGATTGCCAGTTTTCTTTTTTTACTTTCACTGTTCAAAATTTAGCTGTTCTACTCCTTTGTGAGCTCTTTTAAACTTTAGAGTTGTTTTTGTTACCTCAAATACTATCTTCTGATACATAGTTAGCAGCTTTTTATTGGACAGCAGACATAGTGAAATTTATCTTATTATTAAGTAATAGAGATTTTTATATTTTGGTGTATGTAATGGAGCTTTATTCTTGGTTGTAGAACTCATTTGATGCTTTTGTGACTTCAATTTTTTTATACCAGACCAGAACAGCATTTACTAAAGGAATGATTTTGCTCTAGTACTGAAAGAGAACTCTTCTTGTAACTATTATGATCTATGTATCAGCTTTTCTGCTATAGCTAGAGATAAATGATTCCTGAACTACTATGAATTCCCTTACTCATCTCTAATCCTTGTTTTTTTGTTTGTTCTTGGTTAAGGATGATGCCCTTGTATGTGCTGAGTGTTTTTCTGCTGAAAATTTGAGATTGTCTGTAATTCTGCAGAGTTTTTTCTGAAAATTTTTCTTCCCTAGTACTTCTATCCTGTCAATTCTGTCCTCTTTTCCTCTGACTCTGATTCATCACCCTCAAAAATATTCCAGGCTCCACTTGACTTAGCATCTCTATAGTATGACATAGACACTCTTTGAGGATATTAAACTAGGACAGTTGTAGGGCATACTTTGTTTTTCCTTCATCTTTTAGTATTCACTGTTTTTTGTTGCCTGATGTCTAATGTCTTAACAAATATCATTCATATATTTTGTCCTGCCTGTCTTTTAGGTGTTTTAGGCAGGAGAATAACTCCTGACCTTGTCTACTTCATTTTGTCTTGAAATGGTAGTTTGGGAGGAACATTTTTATTGGATAATTGTAGTTCAACCTCTCGCTTACAGAATTTACAATATTGAATATGGGAGATCTATCATTAATCCCCAGAGCTCTGAAACTTGTGAATAAGGACTAATGTGTTTCTGGGATGCTAGCCAGTGCTTAAGTGGCTAAGATCTCTGGCTTATATCTGTCTACCTCCAGTGCAGTACATGCCAGGCATGAGCATCGAGTGGGTTCTTTATCTATTGTTCATTGTAGAACAGAATTTAGTATGTGATAGTATCTGTCTAGACCTCCTAACGAGGGTCTTTAAAGAAACTTAATAAAATGTAGTCTCAAAACATAGAGGGAGAAAAGTATGATAAGGCTCCAACATACATGATTTCTTGTGTTAGACTATAGAAGTGTCACAAATGTTTTTGAAAAAATTTTACTTGTAGTCATTTCTAATTTTCTTTTAAACTCTTCAGACCTCCATTCTCGATGTGGGACTAAACCCATACTAGCACAGAGATGCAGTCAGTAAGTTTTGATTCCTAAATCTGGAATATTAGGTAAGAGCAAGCATTTTAAATGCATTTCCCAAAGACAATAAATTATTCATTGAACAGGCTTTAAAAATTGATTCAATGTTTACTTCTAGAGGCAGCTTATTATAAGTAGTTATTTGTTGGTTATAATTCATTTGTATATATTAAAAAGTTGTTAAATAATTCAAAATGAACTTATTCTTTATGCCTGAGAATTTAAAAGTATAATTTTTGTATGTGTTAAGAAAATTTTACAATGTCTGTTATTTATATATTAAAGGGAAAGTTACCTGCCCAAATTTAATTCTCCCAAAATGCACAGCTATACATGTAAATACAAAAACCTCTGAACCATGCTCTACTTTGCAAATATCAAGAAAGTATGGTACATTGAATGAATGATTATTATAAAGCTATCAATTCCTCTAAAATTAATTATTGACATAAAATTCCAAACAATGCTCCAATAGGAATTTCTTTGTTTGAAATTAACAGAATTATTTTACAGTTTATCCATAAATATAAGGAAATGAAAAGAACTAAGAAATTTGGCCGAGTGTAGAGAATATCCCTTCATTGCCCCACTTCTTGTTTAAAAAAATATTTGAGCCATGCCTGTACAATCTCAGTGATATAGATTCCTAGAGGCAGGAGAATTGTAGGAACTCATGATTTCTAGGCATCCTGGGCACTGGGCAACAGAGAGAGAGAGAGAGAGAGAGAGAGAGAGAGAGA